TTTTTTTTTTTTTTTTTTTTTTTTTTTTTTTTTTTTTTTTTCCTGTTACTTCGTTTTACGCCCCTGCGAGACGATAATTGATTACTTTATTAACATGGCGAGCTATTTCTATGTAGAAACGGCTTGTATGTTTATGGCCGTGGGAGACGTGTCTCGCGTTATTTTAAATCTTCGCGCTATTTTTGGCTGAGTGAAGATGATGGATGAGTTGTTGGAACCTTTTATGGATACTCAGGATATTTTCTAGCGCTATAAAAAAAAAAAAAAAAATTAAAACCATAAAGTTTTTCCAGTCTTTAGATGAAGCCAATATTCAAATAATCCGGTCATTTTTATGTCTCCTGTCCATGTTTGATCTGCTTCGCATTCTTTAAAACTCTCCATCAACTCAGTAGATAATTTTTTTTCAAAACTCTTCAATAACTGCTCTTCATCTGATATTTTTCCGACTTTTATTAACTTCACATTTTTATCTGACACTTTTTTAGTTACTTTGAGACTATTAAAGTTAACAGCTTCAGGATTAAACGGCATTAAGCCAGTTTTTTCAAACCAATTTTGAATTATTGAGTTTTTTTGATCCATGTCACCTAGGGCATATTTCAGGATCATGGCAAAATCTTCTCTTTTTATATGTTTAGGACTATTTTCGGCTTTCCATTTTATAACAGTTTGGCTCCATATGTTTTTTAGAGTGTGAAAAAATTCAGTGTATTCGGATTTTATTATATATTTTGAACCAAGTGATATTGGGATCAGTTCTATGTGATTTTCTACACAAAATTGCTCCAAAAGTGGTGTCTTATATGAAGAAAATCCATTCAAGTACACAACAACTGGAAATACAATATCATTCTCTAAAGTCCAGGGGTGGAAAACCTTAGTAATGTACTCGTATAAGGATTCCTTGGCCACTAAACCATTCAAATTGACACCAAAACCCCAACCTCCTGGGATATTTTCTTCTATTTTTTTTGGAACTTTGGTTTTATAAGGATACATGATCATAGGAGGCACTTTCAAGCCACTAGCGCTATACATGAACAACGAAGTAAAAAAGTTTTTTTCGCTTGCATCAGAAACTACATGAGCATTTTCTATCAACAATTCATCAGTCGTAGAACACAATTTCAAATGTGTTTCATCGCACATGAATACTTGTGACGCATCAATGTCCAATAAATCTTTGTTATCTAAATATTTTTTTGTCACAGTGTACCAAGATGAAAAATTTTGTTGAGTTTGTAACACACTAGTTTTCAACCTAACATCTTTATGACGTCTTAAAAAACCAACATACCAATGCTGGCTAGGTCTTCCGTTTTTAAAAGGTGTCTCTCTGCCTAATTTTAAAACATAATCTTGCACATAATTCAACAATTGATGTCTACTTACAGAAGTGCCAGTTTCTTTTTCACTTTGTTTCATCCAGTTTGCAATATCTTGCTCTTCCGAAGAAGTTAAAACTGTGGGGGGTCCAGTTCTGCAATCGATTTTTTCAGGATTTTGAATAAACCTGTGCATAGAAGTAAGTGGGACTCCATGAATTTTCGCTGCTCTTCTCATCGAGCATCCTTTCTCCACTGCTTGCAAAGCCAGTTTAACAGAATCCACAGAATAATTTTTCCTAGGAATTTTCGGCGTCCCAGCTTTCTTGATTACTTTCATCTTAATTATTCCTTTTTTAAGAACAGCACTATCTTTTTCCTCTTCCTCTTTTTCAGAGATCATCTTTCATTAATCTGAAATCACAAACGGAACTACTGGTGTTGTTATTTGTTAAATAAACTTTCATTGTGTTTTTTTTAAACCAAATATAATTTTAAAAAACGTTCAAATAAAGATATTCGCCTGCAGCTTCCCGCTCTTATTGCGCATATACCAAGTGAGTACGTAATAGTGTTGTTGTTCGCAATTCATAACACAATTTTTACAAGCGAGTTCTCAAAAAATAAGGTTAGGAGTGCAACTTTTCCGAAAAACAATAACACTAACATGGGCTTGACTTACTTGCATACGCAGTGACAGATGGAAAAAGTAGCGGAATCAGAATCCAAGTCCAAAGATCAGCCAACGTGTCGTTTTATCGAGGAGCTCAATTAACTAGACAAAAACAACTTGGACATGCGTTTCACGAAGAGCTGACAGCCCCGGAAACAAAGCGAAATGCATCATGGAACAATATATTTCTCTCTCTCTCCAACACATCAGCGCCCTTCATCTCGTTGTGGTAAACATTGAAAGCTCGCCTTTGAACGAGTGTCAAAACCCCCGATTTTTATTTATTTATTAATAACGGGTATAAGTAATTACCAATACATAGATACAATGTCTATTTTTATTGTTATCAACAGATATTTGTAACCAACCATTCTGAGCGATATATAATCATTTGGGCACACATTAAATCTTTTTAGGTGGGACTAATATGCATCTAGTATGAGTCGAGGATGAAGGTGATCAGCTGTGGATATGTGTGGAAAAATGTACCTTATCAATAAATCAATTATCAAGTCTTTCGACCAACACTAACTCAAGTAATTATCATCCAAATACGCTCAAATTCTCTTCGTAACTTCGAGTTGCATCTTTGGATGTCTAAGCTGACGGTAAAGTACGTAAGTATATAGTCTTATAACGTAACTAGTACAATAAAAAAGGCCCTAGTATAATAAAAAATTTTAAAACGTACTTACACATGAATTTCTGTTATAAAAATGAAATCACCGTAAACTGCTGAAAAAAAAAAAAAAAAAAAAAAACTTTTTTTCCAACTAGTTTCGGTATAACTTCTGTATTTTGTTTGTGTACATGTTTTCCTGTAAACAGAAAAATGTATACGTACTATAAAACCTACAAAATTATATCGCGAATACGGAATCCTAAAAATCTCTCAATTTTATTTCGACTTTTTGAGGTCAATAATCAAAAATAAATGTTTCTCATATTTGTTGTACATTAGTAATTTTTCTTACAAGGAATTTAAGCCCTAAACACATCCTGTAGGTCCTGTCCCAGCCCAATTTACGAAAGTCTTGTTTTTTTCGTAATTATACTACATGTTGGATAATTTTTAATTGTTTATTTTAAAAAAATACTTTTTTCTACTCAACAAAGGCAACTTTTTTACCCAATATTAAGTGATTTGCTTATTAATTGGAAGAAATACGTTAAATATTAAAAACTGCTCTTTTAACGGTATTTTCTGATTTTTCTCAGAAAACATACGACGAATTCTAATCCAACAAGTTTCATTCGATGAATTTTTTAATATTAAAAACTTTCTAATTGAACTTTCGTTTCTGTAGGAAGTTTTTTTTTTTTTTTTTTTTTTTTTTTTACAAAAAACCGTGCTATCGACTTTTATGAATTTTTTTAGTTTATATGCTGTGCAACAACTATATGAGATCATTATTTTAAGGATGGTCCAATCCACATGATCCTTTTTTTGTTTCCCAAAAAGAAAAACGTTTAAAAATGGCTGAAAAAATGTATTGTAGCATGAAAGTTTATTAATTCACATTAAAAGGTAAAGTATTGATATTGAAACGAAGTTGGATATGATAATGGAATAAAATCTAAAGTAAATCTTGTTATGTGACTAACACTTTTTGCTTTGACACTTCGTAGATTGGTGGTGCCTCTCCAGTTAGCCGCTAGTTTGGTGTCGTTAAAAAATTATTTATTTATTGTTTGTCACGAACGAATAATTTAGGAGCGAGTAATATTTCGAGGCTTTATTGGGTATCAAATTAACAACCGTGTAGGCTTTGAACGTATCACCTTCAAAATTATTTAAAAATAACGCATATTATAATTGGAACTTTGGNCCTTTTGAATTCTTAATTTTTGTTTTCTTCGTTTTTTGACTCTTCAAGTATTGCAAGTAAATTTAACGTACTTTTGTTTTGTGTATTTTTTCTCTTTCAAAAAACTAGAAAGTTTTTTATATTATTCAACTGGAAAAGTAAATTAAAAATCTAAATGTTGTATTAACATTATTTTATACAGTATTTATTTATAATTATTTAGCTTATAAAATCTCTGTATCATTCAGCTCTAAAAGGCATTCTTTTACCCGTTCTATTTATTTGTACATTACGCTTATTTGGGTAACGATTACCGTTGCATTACGCGATACTGTTTTAAATCATATCAATATAATATAATACATTCTTTAGTTTACTGGTGCTTTGAAAAACGGTCATGCATATTCATTTATTTACACAGAATTGTATTAATAACTATCGAGTATCACGTAAAAAAAAAAAAAAAAAAAAAAAAATGACCAATAACAACAGTTGTAACGAAATTGTATCACCAATCTCATAGCTAAACTTTAATATTTCTTAATTATCAGTTTTATTACATTATTAATTAAAGTATAACTCCTGCTTGGAGTTCAAACGTTTAATTTTGTACGAAATTTTTTAAATAATCGTAAAGTAAAAAAACAAACGCGTTTTTGGTCAAACAACTTTTTCGTCTCCTGTAAGAATATGATATTGTATAACCCATCACCCTGAATTTCTGCGACGACTATACATACAACGAGGAGAGCATATATAAGTTCTCTCGAAATATAACGCTGACACTCGTGACTTGAATCCCATTATCTGTACCATCGCTGAGAGGGAGAGTATATTCATTAGGTACTTACCCCAGCTCATCTGCTCTTGATTATTGGCATTTTTTAAAACCGCTGACTTCACTACTTTCCTGTATTATACAACCCCTTGAGGAATACTATTTATACCTCTCCCTGTACTTACACCCTATCACGGATTACATGCTGCGAAGACAAAAGAAGATGTACGTGCCACGAAAAAAGGGGAAGCTCATCAGTAGGGGAAGAATAATAGTAGTTTACTTTTTTGTACATTTATTGGTATCCTTGAAAAATTAAAAAAAAAATCATAAGTGTACGTAACAGTCTTAAAACTGACATTATTGAAATGTTAGTATCGAATTTCATTGTACACGTATGATAAACGCAAGTTGCTTTATTTTTTTGAAAATCATACGTATGATAGGCATATAGATGATCAGTTTTTTCATTAGATTTGATGGATTGTATTTTTTATTTAATCTGTTAATAAATTTAAATGTTTTGTTGTTGTGATAAAGTAGTTGATTTTTTAGTATTAAAACAAGTTTTTATGATTTTCAATTGTGGGACTTTTACTAAGAAAATTTTCGAGTTAGGAATAGGATGTTGAGGTATTCTTTAGCTCAAAATAAACAGCAACATACAGATTCATCTTATATAGAACTTTTTATTACATTTTTTTATCAACATGTCATTTCCAATTAATCGTTCCAAATATTTTATACAGACTTATAAACTTTTTCTTAGTTAAAAAATCATCGTGTACAATATTTTTGACAAAAACATTATACTGACAGCAGTAGAAATAGTATTTCCCAAATTATGCAATAATGATATTACACTTTTTACGAGTTTACTAAATACTTTTACTTACAGCACTATGTTACTACAAATAATATTACATACAAATATTCTCCTGTACATTTCATATAACATCTTATGTTTCATCTCTGCAGTTTTCATTACATACTTACAATGGTTAAATTGATTAAAAATTCCGTAATGGTTTATACAATTTACTCGTGAATTTTTGTACATATGTGTACGCTATTAAATACAGATGTAATTGTGTGCATAAAACTATATATACACATAATAGCAATTGATTACCAAAATAAAATTAAAATTTTATTGAAAGGTTAAAAAAAAAAAAAATAAATAAACACAAGAATTACAAAGATGAAATATTTTTTGCTATGCAACAAACTTTAGCCATGTGAATAATGTATCACATCTACTGTTAATCTTTCTAAGGTATACAACGATATTTGTTTTCCTACGAAGTTTTACTCAAACAATGAGGTGACACGTAACAATTTTTTACAGCATTCTTCATACCATTACAAGTGGTATCATAGTTTAACTGAAAAAACATATGCAGCTTACAATACCTTAGAAAAACATGTCTCATAGTAAATGCACTGATTGTAAAATGCACGTACTATTTTGTATGATTAATGCTAAGGAATATCAAATTTTTCCCTGTCAACCATGTATAAAAATTATAATTACAATGATCGATGTATGTACAGTACAACATCAGCAAAAGAGTAGATCTTTCTCTCACCATTGGTGCAAACATCTTTGCAATGATTATTACGATGACAGAGTGCATGAAGTATGAACAAAATTTGCAACACTTTGATTTGATACACCATTGTCCTGAGTGGTTTAGTGTTTGTTGTATCGATTGTTTCTGTTCTGCTGACCCTGTAATGAAAGAAATAAAAGAAAAGTTTGTACAATATGATAATTTCTAATTTATAAAATGTCATAAGCAAGATAAATATTACATATATATTTCTCATAAGAAAAAAAGAAAAACAGTTAACACTCACTGGGTTGAAGTTTCTGTTTTGCTGATTCGCATTTTGGTACGGCCGATTACCACGTTGTTGTTGTTGCTGTTGCTGCGAAAAGCCACGCTGCTGGAGTGACTGTTGTTGCATCTGAAAATTATGTGAAGAATAGCCACCAAGCCAGGGTCCGGACTGTATTGATCCTAGTCGAGGCTGGTTCGACTGATAGCCACTGCTACTGGACTGATTCCTCGATTGGTTACCCGATGAAGAGTAGCCACTCTGATAGCCACCACCTACAAAAAATCGAACAAAATAATGGATTTGTTCAATGATTGGAACAAATTTCTTTTCTTGTTTAAAACTGTGATCATACCTCGGGATGACTGCTGTAATAGAGAGGGTGGTGGTACATGACCGTATATACCAGGTTGACGGTTGTTCATGTGATGGCTGTGAATTGTTTAAATATATTAATAAAATAAATTATTAAAAAAAAAAAAAAAAAACTAATACGAACGTTCCTAAAATATATACGTGACTTACTTCAGCATTCGGTGGCCTGCATCACCCAAAGAGCCAACTTTGTTGGAAGGAACAAAGCCTATTTGTGGCTTCCAATTGTTGCCTCTTTGATTACCGTGATTACCTTGATGGGAATTTTGGACGTGATCTTGCGGCTTCAAAACTCGAGGTGGCTCTTCGGCTCCTTTCAGCCTCTTTGCAGGGAAAAGGAAGTCCTCTGGATATTTTGGATCCCGGAACCTCACGCTACCAATTTATTTTAGTATTTATTACTTACATACACTTAGTGCAATTTATCATTTATCATGAAAAAAAAAAAAAATCCGTAAAATTTACCAAATAACTTGGTTATTTCTGACAGGCAGTGTATTTATAGGTGAAGGGAGAGTGGCACCTTCGCCGACGCAATCCTCTGCTAATAAAACAGTTCCTCTCACACCGTCCAGGCATACATCTACTTCAGTATTGAAATAAACTTTGTTTGCGTAAAGACCCTTCAAAAACTTGTAATCTTTGTGATCGGGTCCAATATACAATCTATCATCCCCTCGCACGTTACGCTTCTCTACAAAAATGTTTAAACTTGGTGTAAACCATCGTTTCAAAGTTTTGTGGAACATGAGAGAAAAAAATGTTTCACTAACTTTCTGCTTCAGTTAGAAGAAGGTAAAATGGTTCTAGCGCTTTAAAAAGTCTTTCCTCCTCGACAAATGGCAACAGGGCAACACCTTGCCAAGCAAATTTTTTTCCATTTAAATCGATTTTAAAGTCTTCTGGATAAAAATCGATTATCGGTGATCTTGGGTCTTTCATTAATTTTCCCCAAGGTTCTGGTACGTGATTGCAACTGGCAGCTGGAAACACGCCCATCAGTTGTTCTAAGGGTCGGAACTGAAAATTGAGCAGAAAAGATTTTTATCTTTCGAAAAATATAAATTAAGCAAAACTTGAATTTCTAGATTTTCTTGGGCTATCGAGGACCTTTGGTTTAAATGAAAATTTTAAAAATGTAGTCAATGTTAAATATTGAAAAAAATGTATGACTTACTGGAACAGTTCCCTTCTCAAATTCAGTGGAAAGACCACCTATATTGATGAAATCACTGGCAAAAGGAGCATAGTGGTATGGAAAGTACCACTTCCACGAAGCACAGCCTTGATAATAATAACGCAATACCCAACACAGCCCTCGTACATACTGAAGAGCAACGTTGTTTCTGCAAAGAAAAAAAATTATTTTATTAAAACCTCGATTTAAAGAATCACTGAGCAAAGACCAGTACCCACCTAAACGCCATATTTTCGGGCATAACGTCAAACTTGGATTCGTAATACCGATTTTTAAATCCATCTTCCCAAAGTCTCACTTCGTCGTGAGCTTGATCGTCTTCCTCTTCCTCGATTTCATCGTGTTTACGCTTTTGGCCACGTTGTTGACCACCGAAATTTTGATTCTGGAAAAAAATTGTAAAATTACTTATCAGGAAAGCTCGTTTTCTTCGACATTACACATACCTCTGGTACAATCATTTTTTGAAGAGCAAGAGAAGCGTTAGTGCCTTGGAGTGCACGTTCAACAACACTTGTGTTGTAGTTTCTACCCTGCATTCGCATTTGATATGCTTCGTAGCGAGCATTTTGAACAGGCTGTACGTGCTTTCCCATACCCAGAGGCTGAAAAAGATTTATGTATCTTAATAGTCATAAATTGCTTTTCATATCACGTTTATAGCACTTACACTAGGTGCAAACTGGCCAACTGGTGTCCAGTTTGGTTTATAATTGCTTATTGCTTCCATGCGCCTTTTCTTATTTTTTTCTCGAGCCTTGAATGCCAATTCGTTCTTCTGACGATTTTTAAATATTTCATCTTCCATTTGACCAAGATCAGATAAAATTAATTGCACTCTGTCTAGGTTGACCTCCCCGCTGTTTGTTAAAAATCCCTGTAATTGTAAAAAGAAGTGACGCAAGCGCTCACAACAATAGGATCAATGCAAAAGGAACATTTCATCAATAACTTACCCCAGTTTTATAAACAGTTTTTTTGTACAGATTAACGAGCCTGTCTATAGCATTTTCTCTAATTTCTAGAGAAGGTAAATGAGGTAAAAAGTCATTTCCTACGAAGAAACACATAAACACCCAGTCGTCTATGGCTCTTTCAAAGTCATACTTGAAAGGCAAATTGGGCATTTGCAGTTCTCTTTCTAAATATTCGCGAAGAACGTTCAAGCGAACAAAAATAAACTGGCACTCCGCTGAAAACACTTTCTCTTCCTGTGGTTGATTTGGTTCTGCCCCAAGGCAGTCCTGCATTTCATGACCTAACTGGCCGCAAATATCACAAGGCTTGGGTTTGTTTGGTTTGAATTCTTCACGAATAATGGTAAAGTTAGGCTCATGAGTTGCCAGTCCTAACATAATCAAATCCGCATCAGCTCCACACAAAACGTGGTGAGTATTGGGATCGTGATCTGGTTGGGCTGTAAACAAAATTATTGAGAAAAGTGTTAAAGCAAGATCTCCAGAATTAATGTAAGTATACTGCAGGAAGTTTTGTACCTCTTTGACGTCTGATGAAGTCCATGATTTTGTGTTCTCCTTCTCCAGGAACATTGGCGTCACTGAGAATAACTTTAATATTTTTCCAACCGGGATTACTATTTAATCTTTCGTGGACATAATAATGTAAGCAACTCGATAATCTGGCCATAAAAGGCGTGCCCTGTAGAATTAAAATAAGTCGATTCAAAATAGTTAAGACAGACTTTTTTTCAATACTTTGAAATTAGTTAACTTACAGGTGTGATGCAATTACTGTCAAAGTGCGATTCTTTTGGTTTTTCAGGAGGTAAAAAGACACCTTTGGTCGCTAATTCCGACCTTATTCGAGCAACTTCGACCTGCTTTTCAACGCTTTCCTTTGAAGCCCTAAATCGTCGAGATCTTTGTTGATTCATCTTTGCTCTTGGAGCCTACAAAAAAATAGTCAGCTTATGGTTTTTGGATATTTAATAAGTTTCTATATTTTAAGTAAAAGTAAAATCATATCTGCAGGTAGTTTATGACACGTTCACTTTAGGGTTTACAAGACACCAATGAGGTAGTAATGATAGTTCTAAGGGTTAAATCGTTCTTAAACAGTAGTGATATGTTTACTCACAACACCATCGATGGCCATGTACAATAATTTTCTAGGTCTAACGATTTTCATTAATCTGTCAATACATTCGAAAATTGCCAACATCATCTCATCTTCATCTTTTGGAGCTGGCCTATGAAACATGAAATTTACAAGTGAGTAGGTACAAAAGAAAACACCCAAGTTATTAAAAAAAACACGTACTTGTCTTCTGGATGTGTGCAGGGATGTATAATGCCATTCATATCGAGGTACAAATTGTCAAATTCCACCCCATTTGGATTGGCTTGCAAGATGTCAACTGGTACCTCAACTCCATCAACATTTGTTGGCTGAGATACAATAGCACGATTGTAGAGGAATGATAACAAAAAAGTAATTAATTAATTATTGATAAACAGAATGTTTGGTATTAGTTGTTGATTACGTACCTTTTGCTCGATGCAGTCAATGATGACCGACGGATACTTCCGGCTAAGCCAGCGAAAGAATGCTGGTACTCCCATGGTTGGGGTCTAGCGTCTTGAATAAATAAAATTACCTTTCACAGCAGCAAGAACAACACTAATTACAAATTACAATCCCTTTTTATCCACATTTGCTCTCACACACACACACACATATTTATATATATATATATATATATATGCACAATTGTGTTTTACTATTTATTCTTTCACTTCCCTCTTCCCTGGCTAATAGTCGCCTTTCTTGTAATGTGAATGTGAATCCAATTGCGTTTCACCACGTTGAAGTGAAGAATAACATAAGCTGACTCACGGTCATATGCTTACTACTTTTATTATATTTCAAAATACATGCGTCCACTGTCTATTAGGTACCACGTTTTGTTCTGAAATAGCTAACATAAAAAGAAACTCCCAACTTTCCCAATTTTGCTATTCTCCCCTGAAAACTGAGATGCACACTCTCCCCCTGACCTGACCCCTCGTTTTTCCTCTCTCTTTCTCACATCTCAGTATCTCACCACGAGTCACGAAACTCACACGACCACACTCTGGCATAGCAGACGACGCGATCGACGCACTTTTGTTGTTACTGCAGAATGTAACCTTATCTACGGAAGCCCGGTCACGACATCTGCATGTGTAGTAATTATATATAAAAATCACTACTTAGTACTTAGTATTATAGTAGTGTCATAAGTATACTTACATATATATGGTCGATTTTATAATTTTATTAAACCATAATATAAGTAGAATACCTATACTTTTGGAGATCGATTCTCGGGTAAAAAATAAATTGTACACTTGCCGCAAATAACACAATCACTGTCAACTTTTTATTTAATATCTGTAAGATTGGTTGCGGCTGGTTTATAATTGATTTCATGGCTCTACCATAAGTAGTAATATTCATTTGGATCAGCGACATCTAACTCAAAAATTGTTTTTTCGATAACATTTTGACAACACTTAAAAATGATATCGGTCAAAAAATATAACTCTAAGTTGTCTTTGAAAGTTATCACATAGACGTCTTTTATAAGATAACTATAAGGCATCTTTTCTTTCGATAACGTGGACATAACTTTAAAAATAATTTTTTCGATAACATTTTGACAACGCTTCGAAATGATACCAGTAAAAAAGATAACACTAAGTTGTCTTCTAAAGTTATCGCGTAGACGTCTATAAAAGACGTCTATAAAAGACTATAAGACATCATTTTTCGATGACTGTTCTCTATATAACTAATTGATATCTTTTAGATAACTATAGATGTTATCAACAAAACAGACAGTGTCGGTTGTCACCTCAATGTTTTGTGGGCAGCCGCAACTAATTGTATAAATAGGACATAAAAATTTGACGTTGTCTGTGATATTTGCGGCAGCTGTACAATTTATCTTTTACCAGAAAATTGAGCTCCAAAAGTCTAGATATTCTACTTATATGGTTTAATAAAATCGACCATATATATATACTTATGGCACTACTTCTTAATAATTTTTATACATAATTACTACAATGGGTGTTTTACGCAATCGTCCACGTCACCAGCAAAAAATTTTAGGTTGCGCTCTACGTTACCGTCAGGTCGGTAAGTCAACTACCTTGAATTAACTGGTGCTAGTGGCGCTCTGTTCCGTAATCTGGCTGATTGGCCAATAAAAACAGCAGACGACAGTCAACAGCAATAAAAAGCTGACACTATCGACAAACCAGCGTTTATTTATAATTCTGATTTACTAATAAGTAGGTTGGATGTTGGAGGAACGGGTTTGTAAGCTCTCGATATACATACGGAGTTCAAGTCCTGAATAACAATATATCAACAAAGTATTTTATTGTTATTATATTAGTAATAATTTTGAATACGTCGTCGCTTTTCGCCATACTTATCAGTGTTGTGGGCAGGATAATTTGTCCAGCGGGCAAATGCCCTCGGTGACTAACTTCAGCTCGTACATACTCCGTTTTCATGAATAACTTTCGTTATCATGGTGGGGGAGGTTTGCAGCAGCAGCACTGGTGCCAACTAATCCATCGAGTATAAAAAGCACCAGACGATGAAACGTGCATACACACATATATATATATTGTACGACCTATACGTACATACAGAGATGCGTATTCATGTGCCGCAATTTTTGCGACCGTTGTCGTGTACCGCATATTCTACTTTGAAGAATTTTTTGCTGTATTAAGTGTACATTACATGGTTTCATTCATATAATAATAATGCCGCTATTTCTGCGGGCGTTTTGTGTACCGCATGTTCTGCAGGGTATGAAAGCTTGCCTGTATAACAAAAAAATTTTTAACACCATCCAACACCACTTAATATATGTACATTCATTAGTATCGACATTACTGCTGCCGTGATATTAATATCAAGTTTTACTGTGCCACATTTTTGTGTATACAAAACGATTTTTTATATGAATATATTGCAATAGTTACACAATATTGCAATAGTACCGCTATTTCTGCGGACATTGCTGTGTACCGCTTTTCCTGCATCGACAAATTGTTTCTTTCTACGGTCCGCGCATATAATGGTTATATCTACTTAGTAATGCCGCAATTTTTGCGAACGTTATCGTTTACCTCCAGCATTTTCTGCTTTAAGGAATTATTTGCTGTGTTGAGTTAACATTACATTATATTCATGCCGCTGATTCTGCGGACATTGTGGTGTAATACCGCATTTTCTGCATCGAGAAATCATTTGTAGTGTACATTGTGATTGATTCATACATTTATTTATTTTTATTCATAAATCGCACTGTTGCAGTGTCATTAGTATAAAGTTTACTACTGTGTGCTGCATTTCCTGCGAATATAATATTACTTGTGTATCATATTACCTTACTACAATATGTCACTTTTACAATCATGCCGCTATTTCTGCGGACTTTGTTGTGCACTGCATTTCCATATAAGAAAAATTTTTGCATTTAAAAAACATTTGTATTATCAGTGCACATTTACGCATACGGTAATGCCGCTATTTCTGCGGGCGTTTGGTATACCGCATGTTCTGCAGGGTGTACAAATTTGTCTTTACTATGATAAACATTAGACATTTTTAGATGTAGCCACTAAGCTTTTGTTTGATTACTATGCTTAAATAAAAAAATCAATACCACCTCCTAATGTATGTACATTTATTAGAACCGACATTACTGCTGCCGTGACATTAGTATTAAGTTTTACTTTGCCCCATTTTTTGTGTATATAATATTATTTCTCTACATATTGCAATGTGTCACTTACACAATAATACTACTTGCATTTGTTTTTGCATTGCAAACATTATTTGTATTATCAGTGAACATTACGGTATCACTCATAGAATTATAATGCCGCTATTTCTGCGCATTTTGTTATGTACTACATTTTCTGCATTGGCAAAACATTTTTATTTGTAGTGTACATTACGATTTTATTGGGAAGATATTAATGCCGCTGATTCTGCGGACATTGCAGTGTACCGTATTTTCTGCATCAACAAATCCAAGGACAAATCATTCGTATTTGTAAAGTACATGATGGTTTATTGCAAATGTTTTTATACCTTTGTTCTAAGAATTGACAGTTTTCCTAGTAGTATAGTACAGTCTTCATTTATTGCATTAGGAAAGTAGGTTTTAATTGCATTTTCAGTGCCAAATAGGTTTTTTTTGGCACTAATTTCGTTATTTGTCGAAGCCAAAGTGATCCTATTTGTGTCAGTTGTGCCACGCTATTTCTCCATACTGTTTTATTTACTTTTAAAAAAACCATTTCAGTCACCGTTAGGGAAACACTTCCTATAGAAGCCACGCTAAGAGCTGTAACAATTTGTCTTAGCCACTTCCTCCTTGGGGTAACATTTCTTTTAACGATTAAGCCCTTGTGACAAAACAATGAGAGGATCTTTTTTCCAGTTTGTTGTCGTTTGTAAACAAAGACATACAAGTTAATAATGAAAATAAATTTATGTAAAACACTATGTCTTGCATGTAAGACCCGACTAATCTATCAAGTGTCAGAGCAAAAAGTGTTATTTGAATAACAGAATTAAATTTTAAACTACTCCATTATCATATTCAACTGAGTATTAGTATTAATATGCTAACTTTGAATTTTAAAGAACAAACGCTTTTTCAGCCATCTTAAAACGTTTTTCGATATTAAGTGACTCTATAATAACACTATAGGTATAAGTGATCATTACAAGAAAGTGTATTTTTAGAAGTTGTACAATTTTCGTATTAAAAATTTTATCTTGAAATGCGACGAACAAAAATTAGATGGTTTAAAACGATTTTTTGGCTATTTTGAAGCGATTTTTGCCGATTAAATTGTTAAGACAGCACTTTAGAGAAAAACTTACTGTACAAAAAAGTATCATTTTGACGAGAGCTACAATTTTTGTATTCAAAATTTTGTTGTATACTAGAAATTTTTTAGTGTAACAGGCATGAAACATTTTTTTCGCTGTTTTCGCGTGTATTTTGCTACATAGAGCGTCTGCATTGCGATCTAGAGCAAAGTGTATGATACAAAAAAGTTATATTTCAATGAGATCTATAACTCTGCTTTTGAACATAAACGTGAAAAATGTATATGAAAAAAGTTATCGCTGAAAAACTGGTTTTTTTGTCTCAGAGCGCTGCACTAAAAATGATGTCAACATTTTCCCTGTTGATGAAACTTATCTAAATGTAAACCATTGGTCGTACCTAAAAATTTGATGCATACTTACATTCTCGTCGAGTAGTAGTTGATTCCTACGAAATATTACATTACAAAAATTTTTGTAAGTCATTATAAAAGGAACCTTATGATGTAGGTCACGAAAAATGCATTGAACGTAACTACTTACGTAGAAAAAAGATAACCGTGATAAACTTTACATAATTTTTTACTGTCTTTCTCTTCATGATATTTTTCTGGTCTAGAAACAAAATTTATAATATAAATATATGCAGAGGTGAATTATGCGGACAATCACATGTATGTATTGAGTACACCAAACAATTTATCTCGGTATCTCTGTAAAATTCTGTTACTTAGTTTGTTCTACTTTTCTTGATGATATTGCCAATCTTTCAATAAGCTTAAAATATGCGTACAACATACAGTTTCGTCCAACACTACATTTTATTATATGGTGAATACAACATATAGACATACAGTTAAAGTATTCGGAGATGGAAATTTTATTATAAAGGCTTTTTTTGTGATAGCAGAATGTACATATGTGTATGAAAATATAAATCGAAATATTCTTTGATCAACATTAAAAATTATAATTACAATAACTTTTTAGTAAATGAGATTACACAAATTAATTCAAAATAAGATTCACATTTCTTACCACGGGCCCAAAGTGCAACTGCTGCTTTGCGATACTCGTGCACAAATTACTGAAACTCATGCCCCTCCCCCTCTCAATGTAATACGTAGATTCTTTTTGTGCCGTACTTACTTTGACTTTCCAAAAACAACTGTATACACCAGCATGAGTATTTACACCAAAATACATAATTGTAATCAGTACGAACCTTGAAAAAACAACTTCGAAGAAAGTCACTGTTACTGGCGTTGTTGATGTTGTTACAGGAGAGTATTCCTCTGATTGAAAGACAGTATCAAACACTTCCTCTGATTTTTGAACAAAAGAGGTACTGCAAAATGAGTCTCGTTGTAACTAATTGTCGTTGGATGATGCAAAAAAATCCTCCACGTGAAGTCCGTTTACTTGCAGCTTATTCGCCGTACGGCTCTCGAAAAATACCTGCTGTTGCCGCTTGCAAACTAAGAATGCTGGTTAGGTTGGGTGAATACACACCATAGGTATACGACGTGACTATAGTATGCTATAGTTACGTATACGTTCCTTTTCTTTATTTTCCTGTCGGTCATCCGTTCAGATAAGTGGAAATTTTTTTAAATTTGAGAACAAAATTAAAACGCGTTCAATTAAATCATTCTGAAATGACCGGAAATACAGAAAAAAATGCAATCTATGTAATGTTTATTTTAATACTGAAAAGAAACTTCACGCAGAAAATGCGGCACACTACAACGCCCGCAGAAACAGCGGCATTATTGAGTAGATATATCCATAGTGTGCAATGACAGTAACAAAATTTGGTCGATACAAAGAATGCAATACACAACATTGACCGCAGGAATAGCGGTATTATTGTATGCATAAAAGTATAATTTTCACTGATAATACACATGTTTTTTTCATACGGAAAATGCAGTGCACAAGAAAGTACGCAAAAATAGCGGCATTATTATTATACGAATAGAACCATCATGTACTTTACAAATACGAATGATTTGTCCTCGGATTTGTTGATGCAGAAAATACGGTACACTGCAATGTCCGCAGAATCAGCGGCATTAATATCTTCCCAATAAAATCGTAATGTACACTACAAATAAAAATGTTTTGCCAATGCAGAAAATGTAGTACATAACAAAATGCGCAGAAATAGCGGCATTATAATTCTATGAGTGATACCGTAATGTTCACTGATAATACAAATAATGTTTGCAATGCAAAAACAAATGCAAGTAGTATTATTGTGTAAGTGACACATTGCAATATGTAGAGAAATAATATTATATACACAAAAAATGGGGCAAAGTAAAACTTAATACTAATGTCACGGCAGCAGTAATGTCGGTTCTAATAAATGTACATACATTAGGAGGTGGTATTGATTTTTTTATTTAAGCATAGTAATCAAACAAAAGCTTAGTGGCTACATCTAAAAATGTCTAACGTTTATCATAGTAAAGACAAATTTGTACACCCTGCAGAACATGCGGTATACCAAACGCCCGCAGAAATAGCGGCATTACCGTATGCGTAAATGTGCACTGATAATACAAATGTTTTTTAAATGCAAAAATTTTTCTTATGTGGAAATGCAGTGCACAACAAAGTCCGCAGAAATAGCGGCATGATTGTAAAAGTGACTTATTGTAGTAAGGTAATATGATACACAAGTAATATTATATTCGCAGGAAATGCAGCACACAGTAGTAAACTTTATACTAATGACACTGCAACAGTGCGATTTATGAATAAAAATAAATAAATGTATGAATCAATCACAATGTACACTACAAATGATTTCTCGATGCAGAAAATGCGGTATTACACCACAATGTCCGCAGAATCAGCGGCATGAATATAATGTAATGTTAACTCAACACAGCAAATAATTCCTTAAAGCAGAAAATGCTGGAGGTAAACGATAACGTTCGCAAAAATTGCGGCATTACTAAGTAGATATAACCATTGTATGCGCGGACCGTAGAAAGAAACAATTTGTCGATGCAGGAAAAGCGGTACACAGCAATGTCCGCAGAAAAAGCGGTACTATTGCAATATTGTGTAACTATTGCAGTATATTCATATAAAAAATCGTTTTGTATACACAAAAATGTGGCACAGTAAAACTTGATATTAATATCACGGCAGCAGTAATGTCGATACTAATGAATGTACATATATTAAGTGGTGTTGGATGGTGTTAAAAATTTTTTTGTTATACAGGCAAGCTTTCATACCCCGCAGAACATGCGGTACACAAAACGCCCGCAGAAATAGCGGCATTATTATTATATGAATGAAACCATGTAATGTACACTTAATACAGCAAAAAATTCTTCAAAGTAGAATATGCGGTACACGACAACGGTCGCAAAAATTGCGGCACATGAATACGCATCTCTGTATGTACGTATAGGTCGTACAATATATATATATGTGTGTATGCACGTTTCATCGTCTGGTGCTTTTTATACTCGATGGATTAGTTGGCACCAGTGCTGCTGCTGCAAACCTCCCCCACCATGATAACGAAAGTTATTCATGAAAACGGAGTATGTACGAGCTGAAGTTAGTCACCGAGGGCATTTGCCCGCTGGACAAATTATCCTGCCCACAACACTGATA